TGTGCCTCCTGTGTAGCAGGGACAAACCACCACACCTGGCTTGGTTTATGTGATGGGCGTCTTGCTAATAATTCCCTGCACTGCCCTTGAACCTTAATCCTCCCAATATCTACCTCTCAAGCATCTGGAATTTCAAGTATGCACCACCACACCTGGCCCTCAAAGAGGATGATTTCTTTAAAAAGGAAAACAACTAAAAGCTTCTTTCTTGATAAATACTATCTCTGCAGAGATGCTTTCACATTTCTAGTCCACCAATCTAGCCTTCCCTGGGCCTGGCAGGGACAGAACCTCCATCCCCTGTGCAAACCACAAAACAAGGCCACCTGCCAAACTTCGCTGAATGGCATGGGGGGAGGAGTGGTCGGATGGCCCAGAGTGAGGCCTGGCCCACATAAGTATAGAGACAGGTGGAAGGGGTGAAAGCAAGGAGCAGAAATGCAGCTGACAACTCCACCTTCCTGCTGAAATGAGTCCAATCTCGTGTCCAAAATATACTAAGATAGGAGGAGTGGATGAGGGAGGGGAGGAGGGAGGAAGGGAGAAGGAAAACTGAAAGGAAGGAAGGAGGGAAGGAAGAAATAGAGGAAAGGAGATAAGGAGAGAGGGAGAGAGGAAGGGCGAAGGGAGGGAATAGGGGAGGGAGAACAGAGGAGAGAAAATTTATTCAACATTCTGGACTGAATGTCCTGCTAAAGCTGGACAAATGACAAGCATATGCTTGAATCTCATGCAGAACAAAAAGCAGAAGACTCAATTTTGTTCCTGTCCTCTAGCGACCTGTCAGAAAAGATCTCTCACGAACTAGGCAGGAGCCTTCCTTCTCCTGGGTATGAGCTGCAGAGCAGAAAGGCATCTGTGCGCCTGTGCATGCATGCATGCGTGCGCACACACACGTGCACTAGTGACTACATACACGCACGTGCATGCATGCACACACACACACACACACACACACAGGGCAGATTACATGCACAACTCCCAGACATCAAGTCTAATTATTAGTGGATGGACAGGAAAAAGATGTCAAATTAACACACATTAGAAATCCTTCTAGTTAATGAAGCCATCAGCAATTTCAATTTTAGTTTCATTTGTTAGCTTTGAAAAAATGTACACTGATTAAAAAAAAAGAAATGGCAGATAAAAAAGAGCACTTAGCAGGTTACCTCTCAGACCTCTACGTACATTTTTTCCTCTTCATCCTACATTTGTAAACAAATCTGACTGGAAATAAAACTACTCCAAATATTTGCCTTCCAGCTTCTTTATTCTAAGGTTTATAAAAAACGTTGAAGTTGCTTTCTTTTTTTCCTTCCAGGATTGAGCTCATTCAGTGCACTGCCAGGGAGCACCCTGCCGACAAGGGGAGAAAGAAGGCTTGGAACACAGTGCCTTGGTCCCTCTTCTGGTTGCTGGAGCCATTTCAACTTAGAAGCAGTTTTACATAACCCTCCTGACAACACTGAGCCAAGCCACCTGCTGCAGATGACTGGTTATCACCCAGCCTCACTATTTGCTACACAGAGCACCAGAGAACAGCGAGGTAGTCTCTGATACATTCTATTCCAGCTCCTTCCTTGCACACCTGAGACCAAACTCCCAAGAGGCTGAGGGATTCCATTGAGACCACCCAGCACTAAGTACCAAGGGGTCCTGCCTGTAACCCTAATTCCTCAGAAGGTTGAGATCTGAGGTTCAAAACCACCCAGAGCAGGAAAATCCATGAGACACTTAGGTCCAATTAACCAACAAAAAGCCGGAAGTGGAGCAGTGGCTCAAGTGGTAGAGTGCTAACTTTGAGTGGGAAAGCTAAGGACAGCACCAATACTGATTTCAAGCCCCATTACTGGTGCACGCACATGCACACACACACACACACACACACACACACACACACAAGGAGCCCAGCTATCTAGTAGCAGATAGGGGGTCAAAATTGAGAATACACCAGCCCACATTCTTCACTTAATTATCCAATAAGTATGCTCCCCAATGAAGTAGAAATCACTCCTGCTCCTAGAGGGGGTAGGACTTCTAGGACTGATTGACAAGATGGGATTTAAAAGTAAAGCCAACTGTCAAGATTCTGCCTGAAACCTTCAGGCCACCTAGCATGCAGGATTGTGTGGTGGTGATTGTATGCTTGTCTGTCTTCTCAAAGGGCTGTGTTCTACACCAGAGTTGTGGTATTACTAATCTTCTTGATGTCTCCTCCTAGTAGCACAACATAGTGTCCCTAATGAACACTATGGACACTAAGTACAACATTTTTTTAAAAAAATGTGTCCAAAACACCACGCAATGCCAAGATAGCAAAGATGCTCTACAGATTGAGAATGGGGAAAAATAATTGCCTGGATTTCATGAAATAAAAAAGTAGGGAGGATAGCTGCCCGGGTATGGAGAATAGCCGGGGAGAAAGTTCCAGACCAATGCACGTTTTTCTGGAACCCAGTCATTCAGGCACTCTGCTCTTCTTAGGACATTTTGTTAACTTTATTAGAAGTTCCTCACACCTCTCATCAATGATACTGGCATAGGTGCAATCCCTTTGGAAAAGCTTAATCAGCCCTAATTGAATCATAATACCAACCCCAATTAACTAGACTTCTAGAAAGTTGTCAACACCTTTTTAAGGCAACTTGGGATTCAACTCCTCTATAGCTTTTGCAGGGTAGTAAGCATGCAAATTCTAAAAGCCTGAAATTCTACCAGCAATGCCAGAATAAAGACCATCTCTTCATTAGAACCTTCATCCCATTGGCTTTTTATTTCTCTATAGACAGAAATAAAAAAACCTGAAGCCTCGTTTGCAGAGTAGATTTGTTTTGCACTGAATAAGTAAAAATACCACTTTTAAATATACTACCATAGCTTTATAATACACCTTCCAGTAGAGTGCCCAGGCTTCCCAACTGGTGTAGGCTTACTCAATTTCCCAGAGACAGATGTAAAAAACAGATAGGGAAAAAACAAATCGTTTAAATAGGGATACAGGTGGACCCATTGCAACAATGAGATGTACAAGTCGTTACGTCAAAAAACAAACTTTACAACTTTGGTGTGGGAGTGGGAAGAATTGGGGGGGGGATGGGAAGGGATGGGAAGGGGAAACAAAGGAGGAGGCAACAATGCCTGATAAGAAATGTACTTATTATCTTGCCCATGTAATTGTAACTCCTCTGTATGGTATTTTCACAATAAAAAAATAATAATAATAATAAACAGAACTTCAAACACAGCATAGAACTCCAAGGTTTAAAAAGCTTGTTTCTGTGGTAGTTTTTACAAAGAAGCAAACTGGTTGCCAGCTCATCACCCGTTAGCAGAATTCCCATATCAGAAAAGTGTTACCACATTCCTGGAATCGAGACTCTTCCCTGACAGTCCAGTGTCAAACCTCTGAATTCTCCTCAGATCTCCTCACTCAAACAACACAATCTCTGATGTGACCTCCAAAATGTCTATAGTGGTCTGCTACCAATTATCATTGGCTATGAAACCTGAAGCCTCATTTGCAGAGTAGATTTGTTTTGCACTGAATAAGTAAAAATACCACTTTTAAATATACTACCATAGCTTTATAATACACCTTCCAGTAGAATGCCCAGGCTTCCCAACTGGTGTAGGCTTACTCAATTTCCCAGAGACAGATGTCAGGTAGCAAGCAGGCATTTCTGACTCCAACCCCATTCTAGAATGAGAAAAGAGCCTCAGAGAGTTGAACTAAGTAAATCAGTTGTGAAACGGAAATCGAAATCAAATTCCAAGATGACCTTGACAAAAATCAAGCCAGAAAAGAAAGCATAAATTGCTAGTGACACTTACTTAACCCAGCATAGCTCTAGGAAAAAAAATAGTCTGAATGGCTTCACACACACACACACACACACACACACACACACACATCCCACTACCGTCAAATCTTGAATATTACTCTACATATGCCATTACGTTGGCAAATTTCTCGTGTAAGCTTGCTGCTTATGGTATAGCCATATGTTATGTAGCTGTATCTAGGCTCTGCTTCATTTTCCTGCATGAAATACTAATATGGCTATTCGTCTCATGAAATTACACATTCTGATACACACGTGCTCTTAATTTTTTGCATTTTATTGAAAAATAGGCTTTAAAATATTTACCTCCATCAAAACCACCCAGCAATCTGTAGTCAAGTTGGGTCAACATTAAGACCACAAATGTGGCTCACATCCAATGCCTTTAACTTAATTGTTCCAAACCATCTTCCCCAATCAAGTGGGATCAACACTGAGCTCACAGCAGCTTCTCACTCCCAGGACCATAAGACTTTAATAATAGAGTGACACAGAGGAAAAGAGAATGACCGAAACCTTCTTGTTCTTTGGAACAGCTTCTCCCTTTTTCCCTTACTGCCTGGAGTCCCCTACTCTGCCACTCCCATTCATTTGAAGCCACTGGAATTTCAAAGCCCACCAAATCTGGATGTTGTCATGAACAGAAAAAAAAAATAAAAACTGGAAAAAAAAACCACTGTAAAGCTTGATGACATATTAACCTCCCCAGCACAGGAAAATCCACAATGCTATCCACACAAGAAAATAACAAAGTGTGCAGCACATACATTTGACTAAATAGCCAGCCCAAGGCTCTCCCAAACCTGATGCAAGAGGATATCATTTGATATTGTTTTATAAATAGGCTTTGGTCTGGAAGCAAAACTGTTATTCCTGTCTAGCCCATCACTCCAACTTCCAAACTAAATTCTCTGTAGCTGAAATGACGATGAACCTGAAGCTTCTTGGGACTATACACTTTGAACATAGACAACAGAAAAGAAGGCTTACTGCATTTAAATAATCCATTTTCTTGTCTATCTGCTCCTCCAGGCAGGATGCTTAGGACTCCCCAGAGGTCTGGGACACCCAACACAGGAACCAGAGCCTCAGAGGCAGATTTATTTTTTACTAAATGAACAATTTGCTGCAACACGATGTGACCTGAATTCTACTTACACTTATGAGAGAGAAGCACATCAAAGGAATCAGCCCACCTCGTAGCTTCTTCTGTGGATAATCTCCTAGGAAAGAGGAAACATCTCTCTTGAGAATTTCTGGAATGATCTTCTCTCAGCTGCTACAGAGATTTGCTCAGGAGAACAATGGCAACTCTGATACTGTCCTTTGGGTACGTTCTTCAGTTATAGTTGGAAAAACTTCCAGGTGGGAATTCAGTGTACTGGCTTTCAGTCTAAACAGCAAAGCTAAGGAATTGCATGGTTTCAGGATGTCAAAATAACAACAGGAACAAAGTGGTTCAGGAGTCTGAAAAGTTAGGCTCAGCTCATGATCCATCCCACTTGATTGTTTTTTCCATCTGTGAAGCCGAGCTAACCATATCCCTCACGGAGCCGTGTGGGGGTGACACCAGGTCATGTCCGTGACATCACTGAATTCAGTGCCTGCACAGTATAGGTGCAGAATCCAGATTCTCTGAGTCTAAGCATATTTTTAGAGAACTTGAATGTTTATTGCCGAATTGAGAGCTCTGATTGACAACTGAGTAGAGCCAAGAAGTGTCCTTCCCCACCCACAGCTCCACGAGTGACGGGTGATAGATAGGCTTTCTTGGGGGAAAGAGGGTTCCTACTCTGACATCACCAACCGAGCTATGTATACATGCCCTACACCCACATTCAGCTGCCCAGAGGTGGGAATTTGTTATCCCAAGGCTTATCTGGTCAGCAACTACTAGAGAAGCGTGTTCCACAGGTACCCCACAGTGGGTACCCGGGAATGCTGGATGGCCGGACGACTCACTTGAGAGCACGGTTGGGCTTGTCGGGAAGAATCGCTGTGAAATCACTGCATGAATCTGACTTGTGAGACAGGCATCCCAGTCGCGTCCTCATCCCTTTGTTCCTGCAACACGCATGGGGGGCAGAAAGACAAGACTGTCATCATCACAGCTGCCGGGCTGATGAAGGGTCCCCCAGAACAGCTGCTGCGAGAGTCAGCACGGCTCCCTCCCCCACGTGGCCCCTCAAAGCTAAAAAATAAATAAATAAAAATAAAACCAAGAAGAGGATGCCTAAAGCCAGGTGCAGTGACTCACACCTGTAATCCTAGCTACTCAGGAAGCCATGATCCAGAGGATTGAGGTTCAAAGCCAGCCCAGACAGAAAAGTCTATAAGGCTCTAACTCCAATGTAATCAGCAAAAGGCTAGGCTGCAGGCATGGCTCAAGTGGTAGTGCACCTGTCAAGCAAGCAAGCCGAGCAAGCAAGAAGCCTTGAGTTCAGACTGTAGTACCACCAAAACATGAGAACACTTAGGCAAGGAACAGGCTCACTCCTTCTCATGACTACTTGGAGTAGTGAGTACCCTACCCTACTCTTACAAGAAGTTGCTGGTAAGTCAATGAAGATCATTATGTAGGAAGAATTTCTAAATTAGGATTCTTTATGGGGAAATGTAATACAGTGGTGACAAAATAACAATCCACATTTTGCTTTCCCATCAGAAGGCAAAGGTCAAGCAGCAGCAGCAGCAGCAGCAGCAGCAGCAGCTTCTAATTGCAAAGCCCTGGAAGTGAGGAATGCTTGCAGAGTTGAATGCAGGAGAGGCAGAACGCAGGCAAGTGCAGGCCCTCAGGGAAGTCAGTTCCCATTGGTTTCTCCCCATTCATCCTTCCATTCAAATGACATCGACCAATGACTACAGACTAGCAAGGGCTAATGACTACAGGTGAAGAGAAGAGCCATGGATAGAACCCGCAATTAAGATCCAATAATCCACGCCTGAGTGAGCCCATGGGCTCACCCCCATAATGCTCTTATACTAGAGGCTGAGATAGGAAGATCATGGTTCAAAACCAGCCTGGGCAGGAAAACCTGTAAGACTCCATCACCAAAATAACTAGCAAAAAGTTAGGCTGGAGGCATGGCTCAGGTGATAGCATGCCAGCCTTGAGAAAAAAAAAAGCCAAGGGAAAATGAGAGGCCTTGAATTTAAGCCCCAATATTGGCACAAATACAAACCAATAACCCCTTATCCCTTCTTACACTCTCTTAACTAAGCTCTTATACTCCTAGTCATATTTGAGGTCACTTCGACATCCATATATTTAAAATTTAAACGTATCAGTTTAAATTGCCCTTGTTTTAATTTCCAAAAGCCCTACCTAATGACAGGACCCAGCAAAAAATCTCTTTCTGACTCCCAATCTCAGCCTCTCAGTTTCTCAGGGGCTGGCAAACCATAGCCTTGCCAGGCACCTCTTTGTGGACAGAAAGTTTTGGTGGAACATCACAGCACCATTTGTTCACATATTGTCTGATGCTGCTTTCCACTACAAAGGCAAAGTTAGACAGTTGCATCAAAAACCGTATGGCCTGCAAAGCTGAAAACATTTACTCCCCAGCTCTCAACAGAATGCATTTACTGACCTCTGACCTGTAATCATGGAAACTGCTCATGTCAAGGGCAAAGGTAAGTAGGAAAGGTTTGGGATAATCAGACTGACTTATGAAAAGAGCTGCCACGAGCCTGGTGTTAACAACCTGTCATGGAAATGGTTCTTGCGGATGTCGTTCTCCATGTTGAAAGCAAGTCCTTACCACCTGGCTTTTTATTTCTTCTTCTTTTTCATAAATCCTGGGGCTAAGCAGAGACCTGAGAGGTCATGCAATTCAATCACTCTCTTGTACTTCAAATGACTTCCCATCTGTAACCCTGCAAATTGTCTTTGTTTGCAGAACTATTATTCAACGAACGACTAGTAGAGTGACATTGTATATGGGCAGGAATGGACAAAATTTATATTCCACAGCACATCTCTAAAGAGCCTTTCAAGACTGGACGATCCAAGCTTCCAGAAATATCCTGTCTTCTGCAGGCCCTCAAGTCCTGCTTCCACCTCTCCTCTCAGCCAGGCTGTACTGGGAAGCCAGCTATTTCCTTGCGTTTCAACACATTTGCTACAGCTATGCTCTCTCCCGAGGCAGCAAGCCTCCTCTGTGTCTATTCATTCCTCCAAATCACAGGGTGCCCACCACTGGGCCATGCGAGCAACTGATGAAACGGCACCCGAGTCATCACACCCCCTGGATCCAAGCAGAGGTCCTGCTCAGGCCACCCACAGGCCAAAAACCCAACTTCCAGAGAGCTGGTTCATTCCCCAGTGCCTTAGGATCATCCATCAGAAAAAGGATCAGGCCATTGCCCCCAAAGAGCAATTAAGAGGACTCTCAAAAAATAGCAAATCTACACAAACCATGAAACAAGGCTTAGCAGGGGTCAGTGTAGAGGGTTCCACTTGCTACCAGACAACTGTGATTCTCCCAGTTTGCAAAACTGTTTTTGGCTTCAATGAAATCCTTTTGTGGAGCAAAATGCTTTGGGTTTTTTTTTTCATCTTTCTAGCTTAGGCTTCAATTATAATTGTCTTAGGTCTGAAATAATAGGAGCAGAAGCAAGAGTCAAAGGCTAAGTTTACAGAAGGAAGAAAAGGGAGGGAAAGAAGGAGGGGGAAGGAAGAGAAGAAAATAGGAGTAGGAGGGAGGGAAGGAAGAAGGGAAAGAAGGAAGGAAGGAAGGAAGGAGGGAGGGAGAGAGGGAGGGAGGAAGGGAGGGAGGGAGGAAGGAAGGGAGGGAGGAAGGAAGGAAGGAAGGAAGGAAGGAAGGAAAGAAAGAAAGAAAGAAGGATGGAAGGAAGGAAGGAAAGAAGGGAGGGAGGGAGGGAGGGAGGGAGGAAGGAAGGGAGGGAGGAAGGAAGGAAGGAAGGAAGGAAGGAAGGAAAGAAAGAAAGAAAGAAGGATGGAAGGAAGGAAGGAAGGAAGGGAGGGAGGGAGGGAGGGAAGGAGGGAAGGAGAGAGGGAGAGAGGGAAGGCGAGGCAGACAGGCTTTTCCTCCCTGCCCTTTCTCCACAGCACCTGTCCCAGGAACACACAGAGGTCCTAAATGGCTCCGTACAAGTTCATGCATGATTCCTCATCCACCCCATAAATCACCGCCCAGAGGTCCTGCCAAGTCTCTGGGAGATGACCGGGCTAAGGCAGGTCCCGCTTGCAAGGCCACAGCTTTGCAAGAAGCGCACAGGCAAGGACAGCGCAGTCCATAGATGGTCTAGGCAGGCGGGCAGATGCAACTGGACCACCTCGGGGCTTCTCGGGCCAGACTCAAACAGCAAGGGTGATGGGAAGGGGAGAAAAGGGGAGGGGGCGGGGACAAGAAGACAGGTCATCAGTCCATTACCTGCGTGGCATCAGTAAGGCAGCCATACAGGCATCCGCTTACAGTTACCCCTTGGGCTGGTTTGCAGGGACGTCAGGGCAGGAAATAATACTGCGGGGATCAGGGATTTACCTTTCACGTCCTCTCACCTAAAATCAAAGAATCTGCTGTAAGAGGGGCCACCCTCTCTCATCTGACTGCCTGATCCAGCTATCCTTCAAATGGCTCTGCACCCAAGGGGCACCTCCCCACACATGGACACCCCAGCCCCCATAAACATTCATTTGTCCTTCACAAGGACAACCAACCAAGAATGGACAAGAAGAAACTGTTGGGTGGCTTCACATCGCCGATGCCCAACCACTGGCCATCCGGAAAAATTAGGACGTGGGTCCTTGGGGAAGCCTGGGCCTGGCAAGCCACAAATTACTGTTCTCTTTCTCTTACTAGAGTGAGACCCAAGTGACCGGTCAAGGAGGGCTGAGGGAGGAGGGCTTGCTCCACAATCACTTGATTGGATGCTGGTCTGGTTGTCACCTCCCTCCAAGGGCATTTGTCCCAAGTGGTAGTGCATGAAGAATTACAGGTTTGGGAATGGGAGGAAGGTTGGCTGTCAGACACTCTCACCCCACAGACTTTCTCCATTGCAGGCACAGGCTGCAAAATGAATATGCAAGCCACTGTTTCTTGACCATATGGAGCTTGTGTGACCTTCCTGAGCCTGGGGGAAATGGCCTATTCTTGACCCGAAGCCAGGAGGACGTGGAGGTGGGGAGGAGGGGATACTGAGGTTGAAGGCTGATTGACTTAATGCTGTCTCGCTCTTGAAGGTCCCATTCTCAGTGCTTAGACCCATTGTTCTCCCAATAGAGAACTGAGGAGAAGAAACACGTGAAGAGAGCGGCCTACCCATAAAGGGTTTCCCTGGGGAACTCTGACACCAAACATAGAAACCATTTGCAAAGAAACCTAATTTAGACAGCGCGGGCTCCTAGGCAAGGGACGCCATTGGGATTATTTTGGTATTTCCCTGAACATTTCACAAAGGCTTTTTTTTTTATTTTTTTTCCTTAAAAAATATTCTAATGAATCCAATAAAGGACAAAGATTTGCTTTTACTAAAAACTGAAAAGAGATGAAAAAAATAATTCTTATGGAAAGGCTCACTCCCATGAATTACGTTCCTTGATGAGAGGGTCATTTCCTCCATCCTTGTCCTGACTTCAGTTCATACACCTGCTTGCCCAGGAGTTCAGAAATCAAAGCTCTTGACAGCCACAAACACCCCTAGAAATCATGGCTGGGGCACATAAGCTTTATTTCCCCTTCTCTGTGGGATATACCCCTGAGAGGGGGGGGAATCCCCTGCCAAGAGAGGGGCAAGCCTCTGCCAGGGGTGGCACTTATCCTGGAGAACCGGAAACAAATATGCCACAGACAGCACAAGCAAGGTCACTCCGGGCTCCATCCCCGCCCTCTCATTCTTTCCAGTTCTGCTGCCATCCCGCTTTGCCTTCCTGTGCCACCAGGTGTCTGCCCGCCTCTCTCCCTCCTCCTCCCCTAGCACTGTTTAGCCTGCCCCTCCAATCCCACCACTGCCACTCCATTTAACGAGTCCAGTCTTGGACTCCACTAAAGGAAAGCCAGTGGGATACTGTGACCTGACCGCCAGTTCATGCCAGCGTAACCCTAGACTTATGGGGGAATGGAGTAAGGGGTTTCCCCTTACCCAGGAAGTTCAAAACTGTGGGGCACATACCCTTGTAAGTGAGCATCCACTCACAGATGACACAGGGGCATAATTTTGGGGGGGATGATATTTCAAGAAGAAAAAAAAACACTACGCTTAAAACAGCAAAAGGCAAAGATTTATAAAGAGAAGGAGGAAAGCTAAGAACCTCAGTGGGGAGAAAGCAATCAATATGCATGAAGAGGCAGGTTAATTAAATATGGATAATGCAAATCGGTGCACACAGACGCCCCAGCGAGAAAGGAGAAAAGCAAAAACTATACTCACCGTCGTTGACCCGTCCTCATGGCCTGCAGGTCTTTGCCAAGTGGATGATCATAGAAGCTGCGGGTTAAGGAGCTCTGAGGAAAGAGTACATCTTTCTTTTAGCAGTGAAATCCTCAGCGGATGAAGGGCATGTTTGCATGGGCACACTGCGCTCTCTCTCTCTCTCTCTCTCTCTCTCTCTCTTTCTCTCTCTCTCACACACACACACACACACACACACACACAAACATGCATGCACAACACACCTCCCACCACTTGCACCAGGCAGCGAGCAGCCTGGCTGAAAGCTCTTCTCTCTGCTTGTCACATCCAGTAAATACTGAAGCAGCCTACACCCAGCAGGCGGTAACTCAGCTCCCGGGCACAGTCTGCCCGCCCATCCTCATTGGCAGGACCCAAGAGGTGCCCCTGAGCAGAGCTGACCTGGCATGCTTCCTGCACCTTCCTCCTCAGCCTCACTAACCTGAAGCTCCTCTGGCTCCAGCTCAGAGAGAGAAAGTCCCCACAGCCCACAGCTGCCTCTCCACACCCAGCGCAGAGTAGGTATTAACTCTTTCGGACCACCAATGAGCTGAAAACCAAGTGTCCAGGGCGCCCTCTTCTAATGAGATCTGTGCCGGCTGTGGGCTGATGGCCGCATAGGGAGCAGGGAGCATAAAGATCTTGCCCCAGACAGCTGCTGACAGCAGGATCCAAGCGGAATCAAATCTCCTAATGAGCCAGGAAGGGGGGGGAGGGGGCTGTCTTACTGGGTGTGATGTGATGTGATAAATGCAGAGTGCAGGAAAGCTATGGGGCAGGTCACACATCTAAATTCCACCCCCCTTTCTCCCAATTTCTATTGTGCGGCACTACCAAGCCAAACCACACCGCCCTGAAATTAACCTCCCTCTCTCTGTGCCCCTTCTTGGCTGGCCCCTACTCTACAAGAGGCAGCCCATTTCCACTCTCCATCCCCCACCAGTGCCAAGCACACCACTCCCCACTTCTTAATGAGAAATTTCCACCTCCTCCGCCTCCCCAAACGTGCAGAATTCCAACCCTGTGCTGCTGCTGCCTCTCACCTGGTTTTTCCTCCAGCAGAAACTCACCTCTCTTTCTCATCCATCACCTAGCAACTTCCCCCTACTTGTATCTGTGATGGAGTGGGACTTTTCCCTTTGTTCTGCCCGATCATCCCTATTTTCTGTCTCTATTCCAGTTAAACTCCCCAGTCTCTTTACCCACACGGAGCTCCATGCCGTCTTTTTCTCTGGCCCATAAAACAGTGCTTGCCCTAAAACAGTGTGTCTTCAAAAGTGTTGCATCCTCAGCATCACCTCGGAATGTATTGGCCATGCCAATCAATTCTCAGGCCCCACCCAGGCCTACGGCATCAGAAACTCAGGATGGAGCCCAGTTGCCAGGAGATTTGATACATGCATACTAAAGTTTGCAACCTGCTTTGGGATAAAGCTTGTCTTCTGTTCACTGTCTCTAGACACCAGAGTCTCAAAGACTGAGTCTCCATTTCTGCTCAGCCACTAGCTCCACAAACACTTGACCTTGGCTACAAGTTGTTTCTAAAACCTGTGTCTGCTACCTAGCAGACATTTCTGCAGAAAAGGGTGGCTTTATGATTAAAGTAATAGATTTCATTTGTTAACCTTTTAAAATGTATAAAGCAAAGCCAGATGTGATGGCCCATCACCAAAGTCCAGCACTCAGGAGGCTGAGGCAGGAGGATCACAATTTCAAGGCCAGCCTGAGCTACCCAGCCAGACTCTGTCTCAAGTGTAAACCATCTTGTATAAAGCATTTCTACATATTGTCGTTCAACTATCCCCTGCCACAGTCAGAGAGGGTGTTGTTATTCCCAAATTACAGACAAGAAAAAGGGCAGCTAGACATGATAAAGGATCTTCTTCAAAATAACACAGAACACAAGTGGCAGCACAAGGACCAGAATCGTGTCTAATGACGCTAACGAAAGTGCTTTCTCTACCATATCGCTCGGATCTTTCTGAGCAGAGAGTGATGCATAACCTATATTTTGACGGTGAAACAGTTTTGCTGCAACTATTCATTGATTCTTGGGCAAAATAAAAATGTTAGTGCTCCCTCCGCCGTGACTCATTGTCTCTCCTGATAATGTCCACAGTGCTCTTATCTCAGGCGGTGCATACAAAATGAGATTCAAAAGGAAAGTTTTCCATTCATTGTAACTCATGTCTTAAACCCTGCTGCTAATCCAAATTAATTTAGAGCCTAAGCCAAAAGAGAACCTTTTACTTCTGGACCTTTTCCTGATACACTGTACCATAATGGAGGTGAGAGAGGAAAGTTCATTGGCAAACATTTCACTAATCCATGGTGGATTTATGAGGTGACCATATATTTATATAGGTGACTATATATATATATATATATATATGGTTAATGTTTAATAAGCATTTAGTATGTGCTAGACAACATGCTCAACATTACACTTGAGTTATCTTATTTAATTCTCACCACAAACTGACAAGATCATCACCTTTATCAGCCTCCTTTAGAGGTGAAAAAACAAAAGCAAAGACAAAACAAGTCATTGTCTCAAAGTGACAGAGCTAATGTCTGATCCCTCCCTCTAACACAAAAGTAGTAACATCATGGCACTCTTCAACCAGTGCTAAAATGGTGAGGTACCACCTCCTCCCAAGCCTCATGTTGCCAAATCTGCTGTCCAGGATGGAAAAGCCCGGAGGCTGGGGGAGAGGGCAGGGCTGCAGATGAGCCCCAGTCTCAAGTGGGAGCTGATCGATACTAACCAGGCATCAGAATCCCCAATTAGCTTTCAGAAAAATAATATAGTCACAGGAAGTCAATAAGTCAAATGCTTAAGAAAAGATAGATTAATAAAATGGTAAAGGAAGGAACGAGGGAAGAAAGAGTATGGGGCTGCTAGTGTGCGCCATGTGCGTATATCCCATGAGGAAAAGGGGAAAATTCAAACGACTTCAAACATGTTTACCCCAACACTCCTCAACAAGAAATAACCCCAAAGCTGCCCCCCCTCCCCCGCCCCCCGCCCGTGGGAGAAACACAGATCCAACACCAGTCCCATCCACTGGAGGATTCTAATGGAATCTTTCACAGGGAGAAAACCTCTAGGAAGAAGATGAAGCTAAACTCAAAGTAACACATTCTAGCTTGGTTTTCTCTGCTAAAGGAAGGAGTCAGAAGAAGGAAGGTAATCCGGTTTGGAGCATTGAGAGGTGGGGAGGGATAGCAGAAACTCATCCAACGTGGACTCGACATCCCTGGGCTGAGCCCTAGCCAGAAAACTCCAGTTCTGGATTCTTTTCTGGCTGGGCTCCTGACTTGCTGGCTGAAAATCTAGGTCTGAGATATCTTCACTGTCTGGCGATGATTCCTGGTTTCTTCCCCAGGAAAACTCTGATGACAAGCCATGCTCAAAACTGCCCTCACCACTGCCAACCACTGCCTGCTGAAAATCAGGGCTTTCGGTCCTGCTTCTTTCTTAGGGAGCATTTCAGGCTGCTCGTCCAGAGCTCTGCTGGACAGCTCCAGGAGCCTCAGGCGGGCAGCTCCAATGTATCCTAAAGCAACATCTCTCCTCTCCCATGCCTGCAGGGCCCCTCCTTTCCTCCATGATGTCACTTTATCCTAGTCACTCGGGGTAACAAGTGCAGATATTTCTGGCTTATTTTTCTCCATTCTTCTTGACTTATGAATCCCAGCATTCTATTTCTGCAGTACTCTTTAACTTCATCCATGGGCATTGCCTGTCAAAGGTTATTCATCCTGCAGCACAGCGCCTGTCCTCCCCCTTGAGTGATGGATCCCCTGCTCCATTCCTCCACCCCACCCCCACCTGCCTGCAAGCCTTTTACAACATGATTCCAATGTCAGCCACCCACTGAATAGACACCATAAAGTAGATCGTCTGTGTAATCATCTCTGATGGGCTCTGTTGCAGCTCCTTGCATTGTCTGACTATCAGCTGGTCCCATTTATGTATCCAACTTCATAGTCCAATGCTCATTCTCCCCCTCCCATATCCTCTCTTCCTGTCTCTCTCTCTCTTCCTCTCTCTCTCCCTCTCTCTGCCTGCCTCCCTCTCTCTCCTCTCTCTCTTTCTCTCTCATACACACACACACACACACACACACAGACACACACACACCTGATTCCTTCTATTTATAATGTCCTCCATCCTAAGTCTACCAGCTCCTGTTCCAAACCCATTACTTCCCAGCTAAAAATTCTCCTTCCCAGGCTTTATCAGAACACCTTCCATCTTCAATCCAAAGGATCCTTCCCACCTTGCTGTATGATTCTGACAGCCTACATCTCAGTCTTAGTTGGTCCTTCTGATTTGGGGTTTCTGATCCTCCAAACTGATTATCCATCCCAAAAGACAGACCTGTGACTTATCTCCTTGCTGTCAATTCTCCTTGCCTCATATGGAGCAGGTGTTTAATACGTTGAGTGAATTTAATTTTGAGTTCACAAAAACAAAGATAACCAAGCATATAGCAGAAAAACACATTAGACATCCACAGTCTCCTGATCAGGATGGAAGTGGACTGAATGCTAAGGGATTTCCTGGTGAGCCAGACAGGTACAGAGGGCTTCTAGAAACTATCACAACAGCCCAACCAGTACAGAAGGGAATTAATCAGGAGCAAAAGAAGTACCTGGCATCACTACACAGGCCATGAACACGTAATTAAATTGAAGATAAAAGGAATTAAATCCTCAATATAATACTTTAAAAAGCCATGATAGTAGAAGAGGTGGTTTATTGCCAAAAACCTCCTGTGTATTTATAACATCAACATACCACCTAGGATAGCACCCCATTAAAAGCTTTTAATAAAACGGTCATTTGTGATATTAGATTGGAATTCTGGTCAGCATGTTCAAGCTCCTCCACAAATCTTTTAAAAGCAATTTCCACTTTGTAGCTTCCTAGTAACAGTAGAAACATGAATCAACATACCCTGCATTGATTTGGGGTTTCCATGGAGACTGGAAGGACACAGGGAAGGGCAGGACAGAAAGAGGCCACTTGGCCCAAAATTCTACTTTAAAAAATGCATCTCACTGTCATTCCTCTGAGCATTAGCAGCCTCATTTCCTGTTCATCAGTTCAAGCATTCAGATATTTAATTTGTAATAACCCTTCTAAGGAACATCAGAGGGGCAACGAGAAAGGTCAGGAGCTAGTGCAGGAGACCCATGAGGTTTGAAAGAAAACCAGAGACGCTCAGGATTTGGAATCTGGGGAGAAAAAAAAAAAAAAAGGTCTTCCATTCCAACTTTCTCATTCAC